GCATGCTCCCCCCGAATTTGTTTTAAAAGAATGGTGCAATTTGGGGCATTTTAAGCTTTTCTGAACATCTGAGTAAAGTTTTTCAAGTTGTCAAAAGGTACAAACGAACTATAATAGGAAATCAGGGGGCTGAAAATAGGGCAAGTTTTTTTTATTAAATGTCTAGACATAATGATATTTTTCTGTTTCCACCCGTCGCTTGGTCTGAGTAAAACAATGGCAGCAAGGCAGCTTATGACCTGCGTATGCAAGGTAGACAACGCATCGAGATAAACAACATGGCAGAGTTTACTCGCACATCCGGGCTCTCGTGGAGATGCGAAACTACTGGCGCAGAACATAGGTGCATAACTGTCAATCGGTGTATTGTGACCCTAACCCTAACCCTAACCCTAACCCTAACCCTAACCCTAACCCAAACCCTATTTTAAAAAAATATATAAAAAATATAATTTTTAATTGTTGTAAAAATTCATTGTTGTTATTAAATTGTTGTAAAAATTAATTGTTGTTATTAAATTGTTGTAAATAAATTATGTAAATATATGCATTAATTGGAAAAAAATGGTTAAACGGATAAAGATAGAAAAATACAGAAAACAGGAAAATGATTAAAAAACGGATGGGCGGGATTCGATCCACCGACCTTTCAGACTTCAATTGCGGGCTGTAATCGCTCGGCTATTGAGGGATATTGGAATTATGAATTTTGGATGTGCTATGAATATTACGACACTGTGACATCATTGAGCGACGAAACAAGCTCAACCAATAGCAGCGCTCACTAGAGCCCTATGTTCTTGATTGACATAGGAAAAAAAATCACGCCGCCGGGACGAAGATTTAACAAAAGGGCGTGGGTATTCGTCCGAGCATCGGACACCTGTTTGTATGAGCTATTCGTCCGAGCAGTTGTTGCGCATGCGCTGTTCATGTTGCATGCCGCAGGCGCACGGCACGAGTGCCGGAGGTAGGAAGTGTGAAGGGGGGGGGGGTGGTCTGGGGAGTCTTCCCCCAGAACATTTTGAAATCTAGACGCTCTAAAATGCTAAATTGTTATGAGCGTTTTGCTACGGCAGCCCTACGGCTGTAATGCCCCTGCATACATGCGTATGTGGTTATACACCATAGATAGTGTTTGGTACTATGACTCAAGTATACAGGGATGAGATTCTTCCGCGGATCCGCGGAAATCCGCGGATTTGACAGTCCCAGGGGTCGATTTTGTGAAACGTCTAAATTCGTTGAGAAAATTGGGAGGGGGGTAACAATGTAACAATTTAAATTATATACCCTCAACAGCACCTGACTGTAGACTGTATGTAGAGTGTAGACAGTAGGCTGACAGCGAAGTATACAGTGTATCTGTTTTTGCGTACCAGAAAAGAAAATCCTCGTTCACAGGCTGCAGTAGAGGGGCAAACATTTGAGGTAGCTGATCACGTAACGCCCATGCCTGGCCTGGGGGCCGGGTTTACATGTTGCTGCGTGCATGTTGTGTGCATGACTATGCACTGATTGTTCCATTCGCATTGTGTTTCTTTCATTCAAATCTCGTTCGCTCACCTTTGTGTCAAAGAACAGTGCACGTAGCAGGGAATAGAGCACCGATAATGGATGACCTAAGTGACATGACACTTGATACATTTAAATTATGGTCAATCCATGCTCTAAAAGTCTTTCGTAAGCCAATACGATCCGTTTGAACAGCCCTTCACACGAGTAAAGAATTTTACGTTTTACACGAGTAAAGAATTTTACTCGCAATTCTGGCACGGAAACTCCTCCCGACCTTTGACCTTAGGCTTAAACGCATGCGCAGTGTTAAACTGTCAACGGGTGCATGTATGCAGTGAATGCACCATAAAACAGGAGTTTGAGGCACGTGATTTGTATCAACCAATGGCAGCGCTCACTAGAGCCCTATGACTATGTTCTTGATTGACCTAAGAAAAAAAATCTGTGCGCTGACCCCGGTAAAACACAGCATATACTATAAAGAGCACCGTGTTAGTGGTAAACCGAATATTATAACACTCACACTGTGATACCGGTTCAAGGATAGAGTAGCTCTAGTACTATAGGCTATAGCTACTATACTCTATAGCCCGCGGATAGCTGCCGCAGCTAAGCCTAAAGGAAGGATAGAGATGATGTAACCCGACCAGGCTGTGTGACTAACGTCAATAGTACGACGTTAGTCATAGACGTAGATTAATATAGATAATTATAGATAGTATATTAATATAGATTAATAATAGATTAATATAGACGTAGGTATTCTAACCCTAGCAATACCGTTTCTTGGAGCTAGAGATGATGTACACATTGAGACCTATGTTATTTTCGTAAATGTGGGGGTAGGCCCTTTAAAATCGACAGGGGTGTTCTTGAAGGTGTTGTTCCACCGTGACAACTAACTATGACTTATAATAAGATACTTTACATTAGTAGACTAGATTAGTACAATTATTAGAGCAAAAAAGAATTTCCCTTGCCATGCACTTGCAGTTTTGTTATCATCTTGCGCAAACATACAGATGGCAGCACTGAGTCTGACGTCATCCTTCTAAGCAGCGAATCATCTATTAGCATCGTGCACATTACCGCCTGATCCCTGATTGCGAATCTTTAGATCTGAGAGAATATTTAGAGAAGAATTAGCCATAGCCTTCATGATAACAGTTAACATTTAATATAGTTAAGGAAAACTATAGAGGCACTTCTGTGCTAGCGAATATGCCCGATCTAGCCATAGTTCGGTCAGTTTTAATAAAGTTACAAGGTCCGGGACGAACCCCTACTCCAAATTGACCCGTAGCCGTAGTGAATCAACAGAGGCGAGCGCAAGCGACCAGTCATTTCAGTCGGAACCGTGTAGTTGTTGAAAGAGATGTCGTTGAAGAGTGATGAAATACAGTGAATCAATTGATTTCTATACCTTAGCTTGTAACGTATCATTTACATAAGCATTCCAAGTTCAAGTAGGTATAAAAATATTTCGTGTTTTGGTCACATTTGACCACTCTGAGACGGTGTAAATTTTCCCTCCAAAATTCAACTCGCGATGCCGTTGCTGCGTAGACAACCATTTGTCAAACAAAAGCCTCCGGAAGATCTGGGGGCAGACGAAGAAGTGTTTTTCTGTGAGCTTACCAAAGAAGTATTTCGAGACTATGAGTGAGTTGTTATAAGTTTTTAAGTTTCGCAATATTTCGTCGCCTGTGTCATAAATATTATGTTGGAACTTGGATGTATTTTGATATATCTAAATTCTTCCTCTAGATATCTTCCTCTAGATGTAACCCCCACTTGTTACTACTACACCCTACTCTTGTTGGGGGCCCAAGGATAGAGAACATGGGTCCCAATAAAACCAATGTGCCTAATCCTAACCCTAACCCTAATTCTAACCCTAATCCTAACCCTAACCCTAACCCTAACCTATTATATTGATATAATATTATATTTATATTGATGTAAATGACATTGGTTTTATTGGGACCCATGTTGATTCTTGATCCTTGATGTAGTACTTAGTAGCCTAGTAGTAGTAGGGTGTAGTATAGTAGTAGTAACACAACCCTACTCTTGTTGGGTTACATTATTGTATCTAATCTTCCTCCCACTCCTAGTTATATATCTTGAATCTTCTTACCACTGCCACTGGTAATACCAGTACAGTACCACTAGGCACTACCACTAACTATGGCTCATCTAGGGTCTATGTCCCCCAGGGTACTATCGGAGGGTACCCTGGGTACGGTTCGATATATCGGAACGTACCCTGGTAACTATCTGATATGGTTAGGGTTAGGGAGTAGGCGTAGGCGACTCCCTAGACTCGTTAGTGGAGTAGGCGAGGTACGGTCCGGCATATTAGAATTAGATAGTACCAGGGTACCCTCCGATATATCGAACCGTACCCAGAGTACCCTCCGATAGTACCCTGGGGGACAGACCCTCTCAGCCTAACTATGGAAAGCCATCCCCTTCAAAAATCATTTTCAAACATTTCAAATACAAAATTTTAAATCAATTTAAAACATTTCAAATTAATAAATAAAAATAAAAATTACTTTATATTGTTCGAGAAGTTTAAATTCAAAAAATTAAAATATATTTACAGAATAACAAATAAATTTATTAACTTGCCAATTAATTCACAACTTTCCAAAATAATTGCCTGATGTGCAAATTCCTTCACATCATTGTAAAAATTCATTTTCTAAATGTACAATTTATTTTCAAAACAACAAACGAATTTACTAACTTGCAATTTAATTGAGAACATGTTACATAAACTCACAAATATTCAAATCTTGCTTCATCGCCCTAACAATTGAAATTATAAGTTTTAAATTAATCTACAGAATAACGAATCAGTTCACTAAGTTTGAAATTAATTTATTACTTTTAACATTAATCACCAGAAATGTGAATCTATCTGTTAGTTTCAGAATTATTAGGTAACAAACGACAAATGTATATCTTAAATTACAAATTAATCATACAGCTTTCAAAACATATATAACCGTTTACAATCAAAGAGCTCATTTAACAATCAATTCATAGGACTTGCAATCTATTCACTACACTTTCCGAACCAGCCAACTACAAACCAAACTTCAAATCAATTTATTCGAAAAGTGCCCGGATGCTTCAGCTGAGATGGATACGCTATTGGGGGATCTGATTTTACCACCCTGCAGGAAAGATGTGTTTGTTTACAGCTGTAGACTATAGTGTTATAGTTATTTGTATATATAATTATATTATATATAAATTGTAAATATAAAGTAATTTGTATTTTTATTAATTAATTTGAAATGTTTAAAATTGATTTAAAATTGTGTATTTGAAATGTTTGAAAATGATTTTTGAAGGGGATGTCTTTCCATAACTAACAGTAACAACTATCAGTACACACCTGAAAATGCCTGGTATATACTGGCAGAACTAGTTGTGTGCTTACTATTTACTAAATTAGATAGATAGAGCCAGATAATGATTAGGTACTACATCACTTATAATATATAATTTGTTATTTTTTAACTATTTAAGCAAAAGACACATATAGGCCTGAGTCACTATTTCTTCACAATTGCTCCTTCTGTATTAATTACATGTGCTAACATATGGACATGATAAGACGAGGTGAAGACTGTGACTGGAACTATTCTTCACTTATTTATCACATGACTCTACTGCATATCATACTAATGTATCAGTAGCTCTCACAGCCTCCTTACACGATGCTGACATTATAAGAAGTCATTCAAAGAGAATGTAAGAAATGTAACGAAGCAAGAAATGTGTTAAAAGTACGCATTTGTAATGTTAGATAGCAGGTGATTTTCTCCTGATTCACATTCTTGCATTTTCGCATTTTTCAGGGAATTTTTTGAAAGAACGATCTTGTACAACAGTCTAGTGTGGTCATGTTCACTGACTGGCCGACCAAACCTTACGTACCAGGAGGCGCTAGAATGTGAAACCAGGGCTCGAAGGAATCTGGCTGCCTTCCCAGAATACCTTCAGCGACCCATTCTATTTCTAGCAAGCCTTACGCGTAGGGGGCGCCTTAATGACATGTGCGATGATATCTATCTGTTCAGCAAGGAGCGGTTCTTCATTGGAGAAAGGGTGGAAGTGGTCCATGGAGGTGAAAGGTAAAAGAGCTATTTGATTAAGTCTCATGTTTTTAATCTTGAAGTGGCTGCAAGATACCACTGCTATGGACTCAGGAATATTAATGTACTAAGTAACATGTACTAAGTAACATGTACTAAGTCCTCAAATGCTTGGTTGTCAGTTGATGGCAT